TTTTTGTATGTGTTTATCATTAATCATTATTAACTGAATTAGTTGTTATGGATGAACAATATGATTTGATTGTATACTTTAAAATCAAATATTTTAGAATAATGGAAATAGCTATTTTCTTTTCCCTCGTTTTTTTGGAATTTTTAGTTGATGTTTTGAAAAAATGTAATAAATGTGAATAGTTGTGTTTATAAGCAGTTTTTTTCCTCATTTTTCTTTACTAAAATTCTTTCAGTAACTTTGATCTTTTTTTTTAATGTGTCCTAATTTAGCATTAATTTTGGTTTTTAACTAAATGTATTCATGTCATAATTTATGCAGCTATTGTATATGTATCCCCTCTGTATTTTTTAAAAAAATATTATCATATATAAAGCACCTAACTTACTTCTAAGAAGTACCTGAAAGACTAATAAAATTCACATTGTAGAAGAAAAAAATAAATATCCACCCGGATATAAAATATAAGGAATAACATAATTATCTGTTGTATACAACGAGAATTAAATATATGATAAAACTAAAGTTGTGTCACAATTTTTGTTTTGTTATTCTCCTTTTGTTTTCCATTGCCATCATATTTTCTATTTTTAATGTATAAACTCAATATATGTACATTTGATTAGATTTTCGACTCATCTACTTTATTTTACTGTAACTAATACATATTTTATATGTATGAAACAGTTAGAATTGAAGATTTTGTGATTAGCCGGACTTAGTAGCATAGTAGATAATGCGCTAGCGTCTTCATGTGAACATCAACACTGGGATGCAAAAACATCTAGTAGGTGAGTACTAATTAGGAGCAAACATAATTAAATTCTACTGTTAATCAAGCTGAATTCTCTTACGTCAATATTTTTTAAAGACTAGCCAAATGAATGTTACTTTTTCAGATAGACTGATAGAGTTCGATAATTTATTTATTAAAACAAGTTAAGACGTTTGTTTATGAACAAAGTTTTTGACTGGATTTTAAATGGAGTTAGACAATAAAGTTTAGCATACGCATTTCGTTTAGTTGCAATAATGTCAGAAAATAAACTATTACAAACAATAATCAATGTATTTATCTTTGGAATAAATTATATGATTTGTAGATAATATTGTGTCATTGTAGAGAAAGGTATCTAAGCCGTAGCCAGTTCTTAGTATCAGGACAGATATTAGAGACTGTTCGCATTTGGTCTTACAAGAGCGATAGAAATATGATCAGAGGTTCGATCCTTAAACATTCAATGGGCTCTGACCATTTTACCGATTAACGTGTCAATTTTAAAAGTGTTTATAGAACCTATTCGAATCTTTGCAGATTTCTTCATATTCAGCCGCATACAGTAATAGAAACTCTTGCTATCCACAAGATGAAACCACAATTTACTGTAAGAAAAAAATCTATCATTTACTGATTCATAGCAAACAGGGTTTTGTTTCTTCACAAAACGATGTTAACATGGATTTGTAGAAGATTTGTGATTTCTTTAATATACGTTCAATTTTGAAATGTTAGTTTGAGCAACGTTTCTCATTAGTGTCAATAAATTTTCATAAGTAAATTCATCAGTGTTTAATTACAACACTATCTTTATTTTATTGTAACAGTACATTTATCCAATGATCCTTATTGGATTGTGTTAACTTCAAAATAATTTCCAAGTGTACTAGTGTTTAAATATCACAAAATCATATTCATTTATAGTTTCAAACAGTATTTAGTCGAATGAAATCGATTGTAGATTATTTTGATTTAAATAAAACTTTCGGCGGTTATCTATTCTATTTTTTAATCAAAAGAATATACTATTTGAATAAACTGAAATATTTATCAATGTTTATGAAAAGCATTTATTATTTTGTCTACAGTCAAGTAATCATTATCAATATTACTTATAATAATGACATTTAAGTTGGTCACTCTATCTAATATTGTATGCCCTAGTAATCATTTTTTCGTAAGCTATTTTTTATAGTGACCATGGAATTTATCTATTTATCTTATTGTATTTTCACATTAGGATAAGCAATAATGATGGCAATTTTTCTAAATAAACACATTAAAATAGCACTAATTTATAATGCTATTGAAGGAATTTCAGTTTTCCGATTGATTGGCTCTCAGTGATTAGTCTTAAAACATTCTACTTTCTATATTAGATCGGGCAGTAAATGTAGTTCTGAATTGGATAGTTTAGTTCTGTTTGTGTTGAAGATTAGTTTCTAAATTTGCAAATGCGTCAATAAAATAACATTTTTTATATCTAAATTGATGATTTATTGCAAATCCAATGAGTGGTTTAATTTAGTAAAGCTCATCAGTGGATAGTTCAAACATTTTAACATAAACTGAAGATTCATTCACCTTTATTTCTTTTTAAAAATGTTATTTAGTTGGTTTTTAATACTACATATTTCAAAATTATTCTTTGTGAACAAACCAACAATCTTTAAGGCAGTGTCTTTAGAATTTTTACGCAAAATTCAAAATTTATGACGGATGGCTTGTATTTTGTTAGAAGCTGAGGTAAAAGTCGCCTTTATTTAGTTTCCTAGATGCCTTAAATTTCTAAACACATCTGTTGTGCAATTAAACGATTTCTATAAAATGATGGGGAAGCTAAATAATAGGAAACGCATACTACAGATGGAAATTGCACTTAAAACGCTAGATACACGTTAGAAGTAATTAATAAAATTTAGAGCATTATCAAGTATGTTTTAAAGGTCTCTCAAGATTCTTCATTAATTATGATTCAACTGATATAACAAATGTATTTAGAAAATAACATCTGTACAGATAACTAGATAGACAATGATCACTGGGTCATCGTTCGCCAGCCTTATTTAGACTGTATAACTGGTATCATTACTAATGATGTTTAGATAGTGTTATCCCGATTAGCAAATTATCTCTGGTCTTACAAAAACTTGTAAAATGAAATAAAGTTATTTGGAAAAGATTTAACGTCATATATATGTTGATTTTAGCACCGATGAACCTTCTATGAACGTTAGCAACTTAGTCATTGAGAAAGTATGTACACAGTTGAATATTCTGAGGGCAAGACTATGATTAACAGTGAAACCAATCAGATTTAAGATAAAAGATCTTGGATTTTAGAGAAAAAAATTGGTTCACTCCTTTGGCTAAATACATTTTTTACATTATAACTGATGTCAATTTTCGATGAAAACATTAAATTTCATTCCTAATCCTAACGTTCCACTTGAAATCTTGATCTTAATTTCTCATACTATTTTATTACTCTCATTTTACCCTAGTATATAGGTGGACATTTCCAAAGTCATATTAGATTTGTTCAAAGGTTTTCCATTATTTGTAATCTCATCAAAATAATTCATTTCCTGAAAGTAAGATACTTGTATAATTATGTCATTCTTTAAATCTGAAATAAATAAGAATGATGATTGTTACTGTAAAATTTATAATTTGTCATTTTATTTGAAATATTTGTATTATTCTGAGTTAATGTCGAACGTAATCATTTACATATTAAGATGGTAAAAATTTGTAAGTGAATGGTTATAGTGAAGTTTTATTTTGTAAAATAAATAAATCGAGTATGAAGCTTTCATTGTTTTCCTGAACAATATAATCAGAGCAAACTTTGAATAATTCACTTCTGTCTAAACATTCTTGCATGATTAAATTGTTCAACTCACAAGACAAAATATTCATCAGGGTTAAAAGCCATAATTTTTAACTAATATAGAATGAATAATCTTTCAGTAATTCTTCTTATTCTATGTTTGATGTGTGAATTTTCTAAGACGAAAAAGGCATTGAAGTAATGTTTTTAAAGAAGAAGAAAAAGGAGAAAGCATCATCAGATCGCTCTTAGACTATTTTTAATAAATTTTGTTAACACTTTCAAGTTGTTTGAACTTATTTAGTTATGTATAGATAAACGTAACAAAATGTTTGCCTGGATTTCATCCGCTCAACATATCTCATATAAACAATAATTCTAATTACAAATTAATAATATTTGAACAGATTGGTTATTTTATTTTCCAACTTTAAGAAAAATATGAATTATTATACCGCTATCTGTATTTATATTCTGAAAGTAAAAACAAAATATATTAAAACAAAGAAATGACAAGTTTATTAATTAATGTTTTCCAATAAAACGTCATATAAATCGTAGTTGATATTATAGTATAATAAATCAAATCATATTATTAATAAAAATAATATGTTTTAGTATGAATACTGATTTATTTGCTAAAACAAAGTTGGAAATTGTAGTTAAAGTTGATTATAATAATAATAGAAATAAAATCTCGTCATCGTTAGTGGTACCAACGAACTAGATGATATGTTTACTTATTTAAACAAGTCTCTTTAAATTAAATATGTTGATATATATACATTGGAATAATATGCTTCAACTAGCTTATCAACAATAATACCTAACGACCATTCATGAATTTTGGTCAGTCTGAGAATCAACTCAACGGAATCTCATCAATAACTAATTGCACCATATATTTTCATATTAACGGTTTTACTCAGATATTAATCAAAGCGTTAATTAATAACCGATGATGAAACCGATTTACTGAGTACTATTTTGATAATTAAAGCATTCGTTATGTCATTATCGAGTTATTATTCCAAGAGTCAATATGTTTGATTCGTTTGTCATTGATCTACAATGTATAAAGTACAGTATTAAATCTGTTGCTTGGCTATATGTCTGTTTACTGATTAACTCTTTTTGTGTAATCAGTAAGAATGATAGGATCAGCTTAATTTTATTTCTTTTTCAATAATGATTATTTATTTCTTATCGTGTTGTATACATATTTATTTAGAAAGTTATTTTAGGATAAATTTTCATATTAAGAAATTACATATTCACAAACCTTACTGAAATTCGAAATAAAACTTTCAAATAAATAAAATAATTATCTAATGTAAAAATGAAATTGGAACTTATTTAAGCTTAGTGATATTATTTTCATTCTTACAGATATGGAGATATTGTACCAACTACAATTATTGGAAAAATAGTTGGCGGTATTTGTTCACTTTCTGGTGTACTTGTTATCGCCTTACCAGTCCCTGTGATTGTTTCACATTTTGCCAGGATATATCAGCAAAATCAACGAACTGATAAACGAGAAGCTCAAAAAGTAAGCTGATAAACAATGATTTTTAAGGGAAGCAAATTAAATTAATAACCTCCAACCTGTTTCATACATATTACATAATCTAAGTAGATAATATCTTTATGAATTCAAAAAATTAACCTGATGAGATGTTTGATTTCATTAACATTCGAAAACTGACTCACAGATTTAAATCTAAATGCGTAAAAATTGCCAGAAGAAAATGGATCGTCTGCAGAACATGAGTGTAAATTTACTTCGTAGTATTCATTTAACAGCAGTAAGATATACAAAGCTGATTACTACAACCACAAAAACGTCTCGTCATTTTAATTATGACTATATTATCATAATTCGACTGCAAATAATCTAGTACACATTGTAGTGGCTGTGCTTCGATAATTAATCACCCTCGAACCGTTATCGTATAATCTTCAACGATGTTTGAAATCAGAAGGCAAAAAGAAGCAGCTACTACAGTTTATTTAGTAGATAATTCGGACCAGACAGCAGAGAGGCAAAATGAATGAGCAAGCGAACTACGATTGTAGCAGTAGCAAGTAGTTGTAGTAGTAGTAGTAGTAGTAGTAGTAAATGGGTGCAAATGTACACATATATATATGTATAGGAAAATGGATGAGTCAGCGAATAGATTAAGCAGTTAATAATGAAGCTAGCCGAATGAATACATGCGTAGGCGCTAAACAATGTTCAAGCATATGTATTTCATACAAGCATAATAATAAAGATAGTACAACAAGTTGTTATACCATGGATGACTTTGTCCATTAAATAGGTCAACAAAAGGCCTTGACTGAACTAAACTCAATTGCACGTGAGTCGCTATAATAGCTCCCCCCTGCAAACAAAGATATATGGAAAAATGTCTGTGTTTGCACAAAAAATAGTAAACTGAGTAGGGTAGTTACAGTCGTTTGAAAAAAATGGTTTGTACAAAATTAAGATGAAGTTAGTGTGTGCTGTACATTTGGTTTGTGCCCGTCCGTGAGGTTATAAAAAATAATAGCAATAAATAGAAGGAATGCGGTATTGCTTTACATTTTAAATAAAAATTATACGTGTAAGTGTAGGGGTACATAAGAGTTTTATAGCGTATAACATGAAATTAGTAATGCATGTGTATACAATGAAGTGGAAGTTATAATTAATATTTAAAATAGTAGAAGATTATTAATAGAAGATTGCAGCGACATAACGTTGGGGCCATCTTACTCTTCGACCAGACTTTGTGGTTACTGGATTCTCTTTGTTTGTGTTCGTCGATGTCGTTGATGATTGGAACTGACGCTTCGATGATTCAACGGTTTTCGCAGTATCTGTATGTACTGGCTGATCGTAGGCTTCGATGAAAGCTGGTTTGACTCGATCGATGCTAATTACATCCGTTTTTCCAGCTTTGTCTACCGTAATAGTTTTGTCGTCTCTTTTAATCACCTTAAATGGACCATCGTAGGCCGGTTGTAAGGGACGTTGCACATTATCCCTTCTTATAAACACATGGGTACTGTCACTTAGTTGTTTGGGTATGTAGACACGGCGTTGATGTTGCCTTGGAAGCGTTATCCTTAGACTACTCATATGCTGCTTAAGACGCTGTACATAGTCCGCTATATCAGTTGGGACGCTTTTACCTGCGGTGAAAAACTCTCCTGGCAGACGTAGTGTGGTTCCATAAACCAATTCTGCTGGGCAGCATTCTATATCTTGTTTGATTGTTGATCTTAAGCTCAACATGACTAACGGTAGCTTGCTGGCCCAATCGTTATTGCTGATGACGGCTGTAAGAGAAGCTTTAAGTTGCCGATGCAATCTCTCTACCATACCATTCGACATCGGATGGTAGGATGTTGTGCGAATTCGTTTGATTCCGAGTAGTTCTGTGAGTTGTTGGAAGAGGCGGCTCTCGAATTGAGCTCCTCTATCGGTTGTAATATTAGTAGGTACACCATAATGGGAAATCCAATGCTCTACTAGGGTTTTTGCGATAGTTTCGGCTGTAATATCTTTTATAGGCACAGCTACAGGCCATCGTGTGAATCTATCAATGCAAGTGAAAATGTAACTGAAGCCATTCGAAACCGGCAGTGGTCCTATAATATCGATATGTACGTGCTCGAATCTGTTATCGGGATGACGGAAATGACCTACTGCGGAACTGGTGTGGCGATGTATCTTAACTCTCTGGCATTTTATACACGCTTGCGTCCAATTACGAATATCCCGATTCATACTTGGCCATACGAAACGTTCGCTAATTAGTTTGATGGTGGCCTTTATTCCGGGATGCGAAATATTGTGCATGGCTTCGAAAATGTTTCGCCTTAGCGGCTTTGGAATAAATGGTCTTGGTTGACCTGTAGAAATATCGCAGGTGATGCTTACTTCTTCCAATGGAGTTTCTTTGAGAACTAACGAGGTTGTATTGGCAGACTTTAGTCTGTTTAACTCGACGTCGATATTTTGTAGTGCTGCTAACTTGTGATAATCGATTTCAGACTGGATGAGAGCGTTGACCATCGTTCTGGATAACGCGTCTGCCACTTCGTTACTATTACCTTTGATATACTGTATGTTGGACGTGAATTGGGAAATAAATTCTAATTGTCGGATTTCCCTCGGCGAGTAGTTGTCCTGTTTGGCGTTCAATGCTTTTGTGAGGGGTTTATGGTCTGTATATACTGTAAAAATGGTACCCTCAATCATATGTCGGAAATGTTTTATTGCCAAGTAAATCGCTAGGAGTTCTCTTCCGAAAGTACTATATCTTGTTTGTGTCGGATTCAGTCTTTTCGAAAAAAATGAGAGCGGTTCCCATATGCCATTTACTAATTGTTGTAAAACGGCTCCTACCGCTACGTCTGATGCATCCGTCATGATAGCTAACGGTGTTTCGCTCTTTCGTCTAGTTAGTGTCACTTCTTTATTTAGTGCTTTTTTAGCGTTCTCGAATGCTTGAATCGCGTCTGGTGATAATTGGAATGTCCGTGCGTTTCCGCGTAATGCATCTGTTAGTGGTTGCAATATTGACGCGCAATTCGGGATAAATCGTCTGTAATAATTTATTAACCCGAGAAATCGGCGTAACTTTTTCCATGAGTCGGGTAGGGGATAATTCCTAATGGCGTCGACTTCTGTTGCTATTGGTGTGATGCCTTGAGAAGTTATATTGTGACCTAGGAACTGTAAAGATTCCTTTCCGAATTCACACTTCTCAATATTTATAGAAATACTATGTTCCCTGAGTCGCTTAAATAATTGCCGTAGTTGTTGTATATGCTCATCTTTAGTGGTGCTAGCTACTAATAAGTCGTCGATATACGCGTATACTCCAGGTAAACCTCTAATGACCTGATCGATAAATCGTTGAAAGGTTTGTGCCGCGTTAGTCAGTCCAAAAGGCATACGCAGGAATTCATATAGCCCAAATGGGGTTGTTACTGCTGTCTTCGGTATGTCTTGAGGGGCAACAGGAATGTGGTAGTATGCTCTGACTAAGTCGATCTTCGAGAAGATAGTAGTGCCCTCAATACTGTAGGTGAAATCATGAATGTGCGGTATAGGGTATCTGTCAGCTACTGTTTGTTTGTTCAGTGCTCTGTAATCTCCACATGGCCTAACCTCTCCATTCTTTTTCGGGGCCATATGTAGCGGGGATGCCCACGGGCTGCTCGATGGCCTTATAATGCCTAGCCTGATTAGCTTGTCGAATTCCTGTTTTGCGATGGCTAGTCTTTTGGGATCTAACCTTCTTGGTCTTGCATTGATTGGTGGACCATTCGTTACGATGTGATGCTGAATAGAATGTTTGAGATCCGCTTTATTGTATGTTACTTTTACGAGTTCAGGGAACTCCCTTAACAACAATTTATATGGATCACCACGACTTTTATCTATCACAAGGTTAATTGAAACGGCTTCCGTAAGTATTCCTCTTATCGAAGTGGTTTGACTGCCGTTTATAAGTCTGTGTCGTCTAGAGTCTACTAGCAGGTCAAAGTTACATAAGAAATCTATGCCTATTATGGGCATCGATACGTCTGCTATGACAAAGTTCCAACGGTATAAAGCGCCACGTCCAAAATCTAGGGACAATTTCCGTTTGCCATATGTCTTAATATCTGATTTGTTTGCTGCTCTTAGCGCTAATGACGGATTAATGTTTTTTCTTTCCTCGTTAAATGGAGGTACTACGCTAATTTCCGCTCCAGTGTCAACTAAGAATTGTGCGCCAGTGGTTCGGTCTTGTATATAAAAGAGGCGACTATTTTCAGGCATTATGTGCGTTGATGCCGTTGCCATTGATACTCGTGGGTATCGGTTACTAGCCCTGTTAAATCTACAAGGTTGTAGGCACTTTCTAGCCCTGTAGCCGAACATTTGATGATACCAACATATCGCGGGAGTTGTGCGTCGTCTAGAAGTTGACCGGGTCCTTTCACGCGAGCGATCTCGCGATGACCTTCGTGGCTTTTCTCTCTGCGTTAATTCTGTGAGTTTGCGGGATAAAACATTTATTTCCTTCTGTAGAGTATCAAGTCTATCGTCTACCGTCATGTTGTGTAGTAGAGGGCTTGCTTGCTTGCTTCTTTCGTATATTCTATCGGCTATCTTTGCTATATTGTCTAAATCAGAATCCGTATCTCCCACAGCTAGGATCTGCTGTATATTTGCCGGGAGTCGGCGGAGCCACAGTTGATAAAAGAGATTATTGTCAATGTGTCTATCGCCAAGTAGACTTTTCATATAATTTTTTAGCTGTGATGGGGTTCTATCTCCAATTTGCACTTGATTAAGGAGTTGTTCGACGGCTTGTTGGTCACTGAGAGAGAGAGTTTTAATTACTGCCTCTTTTAGTACGTCGTATGGTTTTTCTGTGTCTGGTTTTGCTAGTGCCTCTCGAACGCTGTCAGCTACTTCGTCTGGGAGTAGTGTGCTTGTCAGGCCGAACTTATCCTTTTGCAAAAGAATGCGGTTAGCGAGAAAATAATTTTCAAGTCTTATAA